GGGGGGTTGGACTAGATGACCCACAGAGGTCCCTTCCAACCCCTACTATTCTGTGATTCTGTGAACCCTAACCGGGCTCGCAGGCATTCCGAGTTGTTTCTGAGCTTGCGCGTTGACTTTCTGCAGCGCTGAGGTTCTTGTCTCACCAACACTAATGCCATCACAGGTTTTGTTTTCAAATCTCACTTGAGGTGACTCGAAACAAAAGTTTTTCAAGTGAACGGAGGTGCCTCTCTCATGTCTGTCATGTCAGGACTGAAGATTCGAAGCTTGAGAACCACAACTCAAAAAATAAAAACTACACAGCTACAGCAGGAGAGGTGATCCATGCACAAGCTGCAGGAGACTCGGGTTTTACAGCCTGTAACTTGTTACTACCTGTCTGTTAAGCATTTTCTGTAAGTTCTGTTAGCAATCCTTTAATTTTAACAGAGTACAAACTGAAGTCAGGCCCAGGAGAAACAGCAGCTACAGAAACATTAACGCTATCGCTTCCCCACCGCAGAAACAGAGCAAGCCATAATAAAGGCTCCCACCAGAGCCCAGCCCCAGAACCCCGGCCTCTCCTCCAGGGCTCCTTACCCAACCTCCCTCCTCCTGCAAGAAACTCAACTGTATTTAAAGGGTAACTGGGTGCCAGGCCCCGTTCGCTCAAGACCGTTTCACAACAGATGTTGAGCAAACACCCACGCAGTAACCGCCTGCCTCTCAGTTTTGTTGTTCTCTGGAACTCTCATCACTGGAGGGCAAAAAAAAAACGCTCAGCACATTATCTTGGAAAGCAGTTGCAGAGAGAACAATCACAAAGCCACCCATAATAAGCATAAATAAATTAGGAGAGAGCATTTTAAAAATAGCCACGCTGGTTTGCAAACTGAACCTTAACTCCATCAATGAGGAATCTCCCAGGGCATCTGCTCAGGAGCAAAGCAGAACTTCAAGGGGAAGAACTGTTACCGCTCGATTAGAGCTTTCCAGGCGGTGCAGAGCACTCGGCCACCGGCGCGCCGCGACCAGGCAAGCTCCCACACCGGGATCTTCAACCACTGCCACCACGGCTCCCAAACCATCAGCCTCGTCAGGGAACCGGCGGGTGGAAAAGCCAACCAGCACGCCACACGGTCAGCCCACCCCCAGAATGCCACGGTGGGATGTCTGCTGGTTTCTGACCATCATTACAGCTCTCGCTCCAGCACCCTCCTGAGGTGCACTGCCCATCCCACTGTAGGGAAGACCAGGCTGGTGACCGCCTGAGGAACCCGACCACACACAGGTCTGTGGGCCCTGACGAGATGCACTCCAGAGTCCGGAGTGAGTTGGCCCATGGAGCTGCCAAGCCACTCTCCAGGATACCTGACAGGTCCTGGCCGTCAGGTGAAGGCCCTGGTGACTGGAAGAAGGGAAACATTGTGCTCATTTTTAGCAAGGGTGGACAGGAGGACCCTGGGCACTACTGACCTACCAGCCTGCCCTCTGTGCTGGGGAAGATCATGGAGCAGCTCCTCCCAGAAGCTCTGCTGAGGCCCAGGGAGGGCAGGGAGGTGACTGGAGACAGCCAGCACGGCTTCACCAAGGGCAAGTCCTGCCCGACCAACCCAGTGGCCTTCTGCGATGGCGTGACCGCACCAGTGGACGAGGGAGGAGCTACGGGATGTTGTCTGCCTGGACTTCCATAAGGCCTTTGGTAGTCCCCCACACCATCCTGCTCTCTAAACTGGAGAGATACAGATTCTGGCTACCTGCTTACATGCTGGAGAGCCTCAGCGACTACAGCTGCTCACGTGGTGGGTACGGGACGGTCTCGCACCTTCCCCGGTTCCAGGGTGCAGCCAGCACAAGCTTCTACCCTCTCCCTGTCGCCCTCCTCCCTGCGCAGAGGCCCAGCTGCCCGTGTTAATGGGCACAAACTGGAGCAGAGGAAGCTCCAGCTGAAGATGAGGAAGAACTTCTTCCCTCTGAGGGTGCCGGAGCCCTGGCCCAGGCTGCCCAGGGAGGCTGTGGAATCTCCTTCTCTGGAGATATTCCAGCCCCGCCTGGACAAGGTCCTGTGCAGCCTGCTCTGGGTGACCCTGCTTGGGCGGGGGGTTGGGTTGGGTGACCCACAGAGGTCCCTTCCAACCCCTACCATGCTGGGATTCTGCGATTCTGTGACCCGTCCTGCTTAACATCTGCGTCCGTGACCCGGTGGGGGCAACCGAATACACTCACACGCTTTGCAGATGACACCAAACTGGGGGGGCCACAGCCAGGCTGCTGGGAACACCGCTGCACCCGTAGGAACGAGTGCCGATGACGTCTGCAGAGAGAGTTAAAAAAAGGCAGGGGAGGGGATTACAGGCGAGACAGACAGCTGCCATTTGCAGCTCAAGGATTCGACAGGAAAAATACCAACTGAGAACACTAAAAAAAATCCTAAAGAAGAAACCCAGGGAGGCGGTGTCGATAGATGGGTGACATCAGCGGCTGACAGCACCCTAACAAGGCCACGGAGCCGTTCCAGGGAGCAGCCAGGCCGTCTCTCCTCGATGCCTTCCGGCCAGCAAACACCCTGCGGCCGTCCCACCGGGAGCAGGGAGCGTGCAAACGCTGAGACCAGCAGCCTGCTGACCCCCAGCAGCCCCGGGGTGTGTTTGGCAATAAATCATTGTCTTGCATTTCTGAACCCTCCGTAGCCTGCTGGCAGAGTCTCTGCGAGAGCTGAAGCCACCCAGCCAAAGGGCCCCCAGAGGGATGCTAACGACGCTGACGATCCACACCACCCATCTGGAGGCAGGCAGATCCAAACGGGGAGCAACGCCCTGGCTGTGAGAGGTACGGCAGGCGACAGTCGAAGCCGTGGGCACTTGCAGAGCTGCAGCAAATACCAGCAGCCCTGCAAGCAGAAAAAGGGAAACGCAGCTCTGAGCAGCAGTGTCGCTGAGTTCCAGCTCCCAGCGTTGAAGGCGAAAACCAAAAGGCACCGACAGCTTGAAGCTGCGCCGTTCCAGGGGTCGGCTCTCTATCAACAGCAGAACCACCTTTAAGTCAGCAGTGCAACAGAAAAATCAATCAAAAACAAGGCAGGAGGCTTAAGTGACAGGTTTGGCAAGGAGACCTCTCAAGAACGTGGAAGCTGCTTCCTCTAGTCCCAAGAGAAGGCTTTATCTGAAGATACAGGCTGGCACGGCCACGGAAAGGGTGATTTTCTGCTGATTTGTCTCTATAAATGGTACTGAATTTTCTGGGTATGCTCTAATTAAAGCCCAGTCAAATAAAGATTGCGTTTCAGTACGACGACACTCTGGGGACCCAGGCACACTGCTGAGACCGACACCACGGCTCATCAAACCCTCCTCCCCAGCCAACATTTTCAGGCCACAGAGACCGAGCGGTCCAGCAGCCACGCACCCACACAGCCACTCGCTCGCCCACGCACCCCCTCCCCGGCACGACAGGGAGAGGAAAAGGGACAAAGCTCTGTCCTGGCTTCAGCAGGGACAGAGTTAATCGCCGTCCCAGTAGCTGCTGTGGTTTGGATTTGGTAGGAGAGGAATGTTGATGGTTTGAGCTGCTGCCCTGCAATCCAGGGCTTTTCTCTGGGCATGCGGGAGCTGGGAGGGAGCACAGACAGACAGACAGCCAGGCTGGGCCAGGGAGAGCTTCCACCCCCCGGACCCCACGCGCAGCACGCGGCGGGGGGCAGGAACCCTCGAGATCCACGATCGCTGCGCGGGACAGCAAGCAGTCACTGGGTGGGGAGAAACCGTCCTGCACGTTACCTGTTCTGTATGTTGTTATCACTATTATTCTCTCCTCCTTTTAGCGTCCTGTTAAACTGCCTGTATTTCAACCCACGAGTGTGACATTCTGCCCACTCTCCCCCCCATCCCACTAGCAGGGGGAGCGACTGGGCAGCTGCCGACTGTTGCTAAACCCCCACAAGCTCAAGGGACGAGCTAGGGACAGTACAAACAGTGAAATGTGGGGAGCCAAGCAAGGCCATCACTCACCACCCCCTGCACGCCGACCAGCGCCCAGCCAGGCTCCAAGCAACGGCCACCTCGGAAGCCAAAACCCTCCTCTTCCTTCCTCCACCCCATTTTTACCACCGAGCACGACTTTACACGGTGTGGAACAGCCCTTTGGCCGGTTCGGGTCGGCTCTCCCAGCCCACCCTCAGGGGGGCAGAGGAGGAAAAAGAGAAAGCCTGGACGCTGGGCAAGCACTGGCCAGCAGCAGCCGAGTCACTGGTGTGTCACCAACGCTGGCCTAGCGAAGGTGGGTAACTCCATCCCAGCCAGAGCCAGTACAGAACAACACCGGCCCCGCACGATCCGAACACAAAGCACGGGTTAGCAGCAGGACACGGACAGAAGGACAATAAACCACAGCAGGCCATCGCCAGAGCACCCTGCTCTCCCCAAACATCCAGCTCAGCAGGATGTTAAGCATTAAACTGCATCTAAAACAATTTTCCAGGGGTGCCCAGCGACAGGACAAGGGGCAACAGGCACAAACTGGAGCAGAGGAAGCTCCAGCTGAAGATGAGGAAGAACTTCTTCCCTCTGAGGGTGCCGGAGCCCTGGCCCAGGCTGCCCAGGGAGGCTGTGGAGTCTCCTTCTCTGGAGATATTCCAGACCCG